CAGGCTTTTCAGGAGGGACAGGCAAGGCAGGGGGATGAAGTTGCATGTAATGGAGGGGCTGGAATGCATGGAGCTTGCAGTTGGCGATGGCACAGTTGAGAGCCTCTGAGGAACTACTACGGGACAGACAAATAAAGCGGATGTTGTCATGGGAGTCTACTACAGGCCATCCAGGCAGGATGATGACACTGATGAGTTATTCTTCAATGAACTAAGGGAAATCTCTAAATCATCTGTCCTTGTCCTTATGGGGGACTTCAATTTGCCAGATGTTAACTGGGAATACCACACGGCCGGTACAAACAGGTCCAGAAGATTCCTAAATCATCTGAAAGACAACTTGGTACAGGTACTAAGGGAGCTGACTAGGAAAGGTGCCAAGTTGTCTTTCAAGGTGCCCTTCTTGATTTCTCGCCTGTTAACAGAGAGGGTCTCATGGGTGAAGTCGTAATTGGTGGTTGCCTTGGCCACAGCAACCACAAAGCAGTCAAGTTTAAAATCTGTAGGGACAGAGGGAAAACTGCCAGCAAAACCTCAGTTCTGGATATGAGGACAGCAGACTTCAGGCTGCTCAGGGAAGTACTTAGTAAGGTCCCCTAGGAAAAAGCTTTCGAAGGTGCTGGGGTCCATCAGTGCTGGTCACTTTTTAAGTACCACCTCCTAAGAACACAGGAGCAGACAATTCCAAAATGTCGGAAGTCAAGTAGGTGAGGCAGAAGGCTGGCTTGGCTGAGCAGGGATCTTTTTCTAGAGCTAAGGCAAAAAAGAAAGCACATGGCCAGTGGAAGTAAGATCAGGCAATATGGGAGAACTACAGAGATACTGTATGCCATTGTAGGGAGGAAATTCGTGTGGCCAAAGCTCAATTAGAGTTGAAGCTGGCCAGTACTGTGGGGGACAATAAAAAGAGCTTTTTAAAAATACGTTAATAGTAAAAGGCAGGCCAGAAATAACATTGGCCCGTTACTCAACGAGCCTCACAACAGGGACATAGACAAACCAGAGACATTTAATGCTTTCTTCACCTCGGTCTTCAACACCAATGATGGGCTCTGGGACCTCCAGAACCCTGGACTAGAGAACCATGACTGTGAGAATGATACACTCCCAACCAACCCTGAACTTCTGTGGGATTTGCTGCTTCAGTTGGATCCCTGTAAGTCTATGGGGCCTGATGGGATTCACCTGAGGGTACTTAAAGAGCTGGCTGATGTCATAGTGAGACCTCTCTCAATGATTTTTCAACTCTATTGGGAATCTGGAGAAGTCGCAGTTGACTGGAAGCTGGCAAACGTTGTCCCAGTTTTCAAGAAGGGCAACAGGGATGACCCTGGTAACTACAGGCCTGTCAGTCTTAATTCTGTGCCTGGCAAAATTATGGAGAAGATTATTCTGGGAGTTACTGAAAAACACCTGAAAGACAATGCAGTCATTGGTCCCAGCCAGCACGGGCTCATGAGGGGAAAGTCCTGTTTAAAAAACTTAATTTCTTTCTACAACCAGGTTACCCACCTAGTTGACCAAGGGAAGCCAGTCGATGTAATCTTTTTAGATTTTAGTAAAGTTTTCGATACTGTCTCTCGCAATATCCTCCTGGACAAAATGTCGAGCATACAGCTGGATAAACATACAAAGCAATGTGTGAGCAATTGGCTGATGGGTCAGACTCAAAGGGATAAATGGGGTTATATTGGGCTGGCGATCAGTCACCAGTGGGGCTCCACAGGTATCCATCTTAGGACCAGTGCTCTTTAATGTCTTCATAAATGACTTGGATGTAGGACTTGAAGAAATACTAAGCAAGTTTGCCAATCACACAAAACTGGGAGGAGCTGTTGACACCCTTGAAGGCAGAGAGGCCCTGCACCACATGAAATTTAACAAGAGTAAATGCCTGTTTCTGCACCCGGGACGGAGTAACCCTGGATGTACATACAGACTGGGGAACGAGGATCTGGAGAGCAGGCCCGTGGAGAGGGATCTGCGGGTTCTGGTCAATGGCAAGTTGAACGAGTCAACAGTGTGACCTGGCAGCCAAAAGGGCCAACCATATCCTGGGGTGCATCAACCCAGCCGGTCGAGGGAGCGGATTGTCCTGTTCTACTCTGCACTAGTGCAGCCTCACCTCGAGTACTGTGTGCTGTTTTGGGAGCCACAATATAAAAAGGATATAAAGCTACTAGATGGCATCCAAAGGAGGGCCACAAAATTGGTGAAGAGTTTAGAGGGGAAGCCGTATGAGAAGTAGCTGAAGTCACTTTGTTTGTTCAGGCTGGAGAAGAGGAGACTGAGGGGAGACCTCATCGTGGTCTACAGCTTCCTCACAAGGGGAAGCGGAGGGGCAAGTGCTGACCTCTTCTCAATGGCAACCAATGATAGGACCCTAGCGAATGCCATGAAGATGGGCTAGGGGAGGTTTAGGTTGGATATTATGAAAAGGTTCTTCATCCAGAGGGTAGTCGAGCACTGGAATAGGCTCCCCAGGGAGGTAGTCACAGTGCCAAGCCTGACAATATTCAAGAAACATTTGGACATCACCCTCAGACACATGGTGTGAATTTTGGAGTGTTCCCACGCAGAGAGAGGAGTTGGACTCAGTGATCCTTGTAGGTCCCTTCCAACTCAGGACATTCTATGATTCTAATAATTCTTACTTATTTGGGAGAGTCTAAATATAGTTAAAGAACAGTAGACTAAGACAAATACAGTTAAATAAAGTCTAAACAGGCACAACTATTTGCATTATACCACTAATATTTCACACCCATATGTGGTATTTCTTCACATGCATACTGTTTCTCTTCTGATAACTTCACCAGGACGCTGTGTGTGCATGCAAAGAAACTATATAGAGGAATGTAAATACTTGAGCTGAATTTCTATAATTCAATCAATTCATTCTGCATTCTTGAGAAACAACTCATTTTCTGATACAGTTGCCTGACAAGCCCTTTGTATATTCATGTACGCTATGAACAACTGATCATAATGTGCAGTGCAATGTATTTTGTCAAATGATTTTGAAGTTCTAATTTCGTATATATTTGTTTCATTACACTTTATTCTATAAGCGGCTTGACAGCCTATAAAGAATTTTATACATCTATTTCAAACAACTGAACAGTATTATGTATTTCCCCACCGTTTCCAAGATTTTGAATTTTACAGCTGTGTCAGACTACTGTATTTAATTTAAACAGCAAAATATGGGATTAAACAGTTAGAAGTGAAGTATGCATCTGACAGGCAAGAGAAAATGAAAGAAAAGCTAACACAAACTACAGTTCACTGCTCTGGCCTTCAGTTTGATGCATCAGCTGTGTCTCAACTCACTAATTCCATCCATTGCAATTAACCACAGATTTCTTTATCTGCAAGTCTAGAGAACAGCCAAGAACTGAATATATAACTTAATCATTGATGTGAACACAAAGATGGCAAGCTTAATAAATATTAAAAAAAAACCCTCAACGGATAGATGATTGCTCCCTAATTATTTGAAGGTTTTTTTAAAATTACTTTGTACTGTGATAATCTAAACTTCAAGGAAGAAAATTATTAATACTGGGTGATAAATAAATCCCGCTTCACACATGGCAAATTTCAAATAAGATGCTTGACACTTACTTTGCAAACAGCAATAATGTTTTGTGGAAGTTGAGGTTTTTTAAATTTTCAAATTTTCAAAAGATTACCTAGTCTTTTTGCTACAGTAAAACGATGTTCTTTATTTGATTTTTGCATGACAATAAAAGAACATAAAGTATTTTATTGGTATTTATAATATAAATGAAAATGAAAAAATCCCACTGGTACTAATAATCAATTCTAAGTAAAGTCTCCCACAAAGTTAAGAAAGCTTTTGTGTGTCACCCCCCCCACCCCCCCAGGGATATAACAATAAATAGCTCTGAGTGATTATTGAGTCGCATGACATTTTCCCCTTTAAACGAAACACTTGCATATGAAAACTACAGCACTATTGCTTGCAGTAACTCACAACATTTTCAAATGTAGATAGTAAGTAAAAGGCAGACAAATCCACTTTAACCTTTCAAGCAGAATGAGCTAGTCTTCAGACATCCATGTACCTATGGACACCATGTCTCGAGTTGGAGAAAGGGACAGCATGTACTCAGCATCAGAATGCCTAATTAAGCAAGCTTTCTAGGTCATTACCTTGAAGATACTAAATATACATTCATGATATGCAATCACGAATATGCATTCAAGACATTAATTTCTAGGATTTCTAAGTACAAAAGAAAAAAAGAACAGAAATTGTCAACTGGAGAGAAGGCACGTCAGAACTATTTGTGGAGTTTCCCTTTTGAAATATTTTATACAGACAATGATTATGAGATAAAACCATTAAGAATTTGTGATTTCTTCCTGAGAACCAGATCTAGAGTAACTCACTGAAAGTGGTATTATAGAGATTTATTAGGCATTCAGGTTCCTCATAGCTAGGAGAGAACTAGGCTAACTAAGCTACTTTGAATAAAAACATCTACTTCTTAAAGGGATTAAGTACTACAGGAACGGACTTCTCATGATACAAAACAAGGCAAATATTCTCAGGAATATAATGAATGTAATAGGCAGGTAGTGTTTGATCAAACTTTATTGTTAACAAATTTTTATCACTTTATCACTGAGCAGTTTTTACGATTCTTATCTAGAGATAAGAATGGCAATATGTAACTTATTGACAAAGGTAAACTAATTGTAATATTTATTTTGAATTAATCAGATTATTGAGAAGTCACAGGCCAGGCATTTTTGCATAGCTGATAAAGAATTACAGCTCTTTATAAGAATGAATGAAATTGGAAAAATTCAGCAAGCGACATTTTCAAGTCTGGTCACCTGATTTTCAAAAGATTAGATGGCGTATAAAAACATACACGTGCAGTTTATCAAAATTGAAAACTTTCCTCTCATATGTTGCTAAACTGATTCCACTCCTTATAACATGTACTTAGGTAAAAGTTACTTACTGCAGCTTTCTTCATCAGAATTATCACCACAGTCATTTTGGCTGTCACATCTCCAATGATCTGGAATACAGTTGTTGTTTTTGCACTGGAATTCATGAGGTCCACAAGTTTTTTTATCTGTAATAAAGATTAATATCATTTACATCTTTGCAGACAAAGATTAAAAATGGGAAAGACTGCTACTGAACAGTGACATGACAATATTGCTAGATACATTTAAGAAGTAGCAACCATAACACTTGGAATTATAATTTCAGAAATAATTTATTTTTCATATCACATTCTTTAAGATTCAATTTATTAATTCATACCAAAAGAGACATGCTCATAAATTTGATGATAAAATTAAAATATGGACTGTATATACTGTCAATTAAAGTAAAAAATACAAAATTCAGAAGTGATCACAAATTAGATTCAAGAGAGTATTATTGCACTGGATCTCAAAAACTGCATTGACGTTTCCTTGAATTTATCTGTAAGATTGTTTTACAAAAGATCAGATCACAGTAAACCACATTTATTTGAAAGTGTACAAAATATATATTTTTCAAAAGTTATGTTTACATATAATAATTTAAGCCTAATCATACATGACAAAACTTTGCATTTAATTTACATTTCACCTTCTGATGTCTTGGATTGGAAGCCTACTTATACAAAGTAAAACATTATAATGCATGTACTGCTAAACTCAGATTAATTTTCTTCATCAAGTAAATTTTCAGTGAGCTTTCCCGTTTACAGAGTAGCATTGAAGGCAAAGCCTCTTGGAGATGCATGAACTTTCTGGACTCCTCCAGCAGGAAGAAGCTGCCTCTGTGTTTTATTTACATTTTTTATTTCTTGAGTAATTCTTTCACATTCTAAGGACTGAGATGAAATGAAGTAAACTAAAAAGTTATCAGTGACATTTTCTGTGGAAAAAAAAAAGTTTGATTTGTAAAAGCCTCAATGACATATTTAAAATTATATGTCATTGTGATGATATTTCTTTAGAAATTTTTTAAATTTCCATTAGGCTACTTTATAGCATGTCAGGTCAGACTTCATACTGCTATCATGACAACTCGATGAGTTCTAATAACTGACAGAATGAAGGAGGACTGGAACACTAGCTTAAATGAATCCGCTTTCTCTGCCTGTGAAATGGAAAGGACCACAAATTAGAGGTATTAGATTTGGTGCTATGGTCCAAATTGCTGCTTTTTGTGTTTTGTTTTAGGTGTCATTCTGGAACTAGAGTTATAAATCAAAACTACATTTGAGTATCAAGAAGGTGGAGGTAAATGGTGTTGCAGCTCAGTTGTGTACACTCAAAAATTTCATAATTACAATACTGTCTTTTGCATTTGTTCCTTATTCTCTGCCATATTGTGACTGCAAGTAGTTTTCTCCCAAAATACTTTTTCCTATGATGTTTCTCTAGATGATGGTCTATGACATTTCATTCATGACATTTCAAATACTTGCACTGGCAAACGCCTAAAATATTTAACATTACAAAATAGGGCAACAAAAATGATCCAAGGGCTGAAGCACCTCTCCTATAAAGACAGGCTGAGAGAGTTGGGGTCGTTCAGCCTGGAGAAGAGGAGGCTTTGAGGTGACCTCATTGCAGCCTTCCAATACCTGAAGGGGGTCTATATGAGAGATGGGGACAGACTTTTTAGCAGGGTCTGCTGTGACAGGACAAGGGGTAATGGTTTTAAACTAAAAGAGGGTAGATTTAGACTTGACATAAGGAAAAAATTTTTTACAATGAGGGTGGTGAAGCACTGGAACAGGTTGCCCAGAGAGGTGGTGGAAGCCCCATCCCTGGAGGCATTCAAGGTCAGGCTGGATGGGGCTCTGAGCAACCTGATCTAGTTGGAGATGTCCCTGCTCACCGCAGGGGGGTTGGACTAGATGACCTCTAAAGGTCCCTTCCAGCCCAAATGATTCTATGATTCTATGATTCTAAACGGCTTAGCATTTTTCTTAAAATGAGACTACTTTAAAACACGAAAGTTCAGACAGGAATGGTACAAAGGCAAAGTAGTAAGTACTGGTGACTCAATTTTCATATTTCTCTCTTCAAAATATTAAGAGATTCATTGATATACTGTAACAGACAAAGACCCCTTTTCAGAAATTTGTGTCACCGCCTGAGGTAGCTGCTGGTTAGTTGGGGGTCCTCTTTTGTGTATACTGAACCAGGATTTTATTTTAGAAATTATTCTAAATGAGCATGAAGAAAATAGGATGAAGGCTTAAAGGGAAAACAAAACAAATAAAAAAAAACTCCAAAATATTACATATGCACCCTAAAAGCATTTTGATTCAATCACTATGAATTAAAAGCACTATTTTGTCACTGATTACACTACATTGCCATTCAGGGATTTTAATTCCATAAATGTGCACACTTGTGCATTTGTGTGTGTGTGTGTCTGAGAGGTATAAAATCCAAAATGAAAAGAAATGCGCTTTTGATCAAGGATCAGTTAGCTGTTCTAGAGCTTAGCAGGTTGTCACTGATGCTGGATACAGGAAATTATAAGCCTGTTGAAGGAAGTTTAAGTTTTTTACAACGCAACCTTCAAATGCCTCAAAGAACATATTCACCATCAGAAAAAAAACTACTTTGACTCTTTAGGCTAAAAATAAAATTAATACCAAAAAAAGTGAGGAAGCAGAAAGCAGTCATACTAATGTTGACACATTATGCTAATAAAGACCTGAAATACATATAACCTTTAAAGCAGATTATAATCACTTTCCAAGACCACACACAGCTTTCTTCAGATTCTAACTCAAACAGGGCCTTTTTTGATGTAAAGTATTAAAGCTGTGAGCAAGGATTACCATAACCTAAAGGCTTCTTTTAATTGTCTGGACAGAAATGATGAATTAACTCTACCTGCTGGTCTTTGACAAACACCATACACTCATTAATAAACATACATTTCCTAATCCTACTTCTGTTGTCTGAGTTGGAAAGTAACCACAGAAGACTAAATACGTTCAGACTACTTCTAACAAATTTACTCAATACAATATCTCCAATAACCCACAGTAGCAGATGTTGACTAAGCAAAATATACGTGACTACACAGCACTTAAGCAAAAAGATTGCTCTTCATACAAGTTTTGCATTGTAAGCATTTTAGAAATGAACTATAAATGATAACAAGTTAGTATTAGCATCAACATATGCAGATCTTTATTACACTCAGCTTGCAGTTTTAGATTTTAATTCTATCAAACTTTGCTCATGAAAATAACTATCTTTAAATTTGAAAACAAAACAAAATAAAAAACAACGCAGAAGACCAAACCATGTTAAAACTACTGATATAATAAGGTCATGTAAACATATTTCAAATGCTATAATTAAGGAAAACTTCAATATGTGATTAAATCCACCCATTCTATGTGTACATAACTGTGTGTGGCACAGATTGAGAATGTGGACAAACTGTTCTGTCTGCTCTAACACAAAAACTAACAGCATTATATGCAGCTAGCAGATTTAAAGTAAAACGGTAGGTGGTTTTTCAGGGAGGTGTGTAATTAAGCTGTGGAACTCCTTATTGCAGCATGTTGTGAAAACTTTACAAAAGTTAAGAGACTGAAATCCATCAAGGGTTATTGCATACAGAGACATATTTGACTCACAACATGTCTGATTCTCCAATTGTTAAAAAGCTGAAAGAGTACGCCAGGGACGTTCCACTACAGGCCTGCTTTGCTTGCATATTCTTCCCTAGATACTAGCTTTCAGTCACTGCCAGAGACAAAATAAAAGGCAAGATGAGTCTTAGATATGAACTAGCACAATCAGTTGTCTATATTTTGACTGAAAAAAAATATTTAATTTGGGATTGCATGCATTGCACCTCTATACTATTTAATTGTTTGAGTAATTTGGACATTATTCTTTCTATTGGCTAAAATGATGAATCTCAGTGAAGTATCTATTATAAATACAATTTTTCCTGTTCAGTTTTAGTTGTTTGTTTGTTTGTTTTTTCCCCCTCATTGCTTTCAAACTTTGTGTCTTGAGGATATTATTAGATGAATTATTTTAAGACCCTTTGTGCCACATCAGTTGGGCTTGCATGGGTTACTCAAAATATGAATCCATAGTTTGGAACCTTGGAATGCTGTCTGAATTAGAAAGAAACGGTATGTTGGAGATCAAGGTGAGGGGGAACAGTGCAGGAGAAAGCACCTGTGAAGTGGATCAGAAGGTGAGAAGTGCGGAGATAGTTCTAGAATAGCCCAGAGGAGGATATAAAGAGTCTCCATAGCAAAGGTTCACCTCCTTTGCGTTCACTGTTTCTTTAAGCCAAATGAATTCTTGGACTGTAACTTCTCTCCAGTTGATATGATTAATTAGTTTCCCTTTCTTGATGATTCAAATGATGGTCTTGGATTTTCAATGTTGAGGAAGAGTTCAGTTTCCTAGGCATATTTACCAGCTCCAACATTTTCATATATGTGCTCGTGTCAATTGCTCAAAACATATCCATGGAAATTTGGCTGTCTCTCAGTGCTGTGTTCTTGATTACAGCCTGTAATTCTGTTACTCTGTTGTCCCAGAGGTAGCATAAACTTGTCCAGACTCATGTATTTCATCAAATCGTTTATTGATGCATGGATGAAAGTTTTGAATGTTCTGTACAGCTATTTTTCTTATTCTCTTCCATTTCAGAACATTTTTCCATCTTCTCCTTTATAAATCTGTCTTGAAATTTCCACAAGTTTTCCCGCACTTGGTGAGTGTGAGTCTTGCATTGACATCCATGTCCAGTGAGTTTCCAACAATACTGATCCACCCATTCTGACTCTGATTATCTGTATTCCATTTCTCAGGTGGAGTATTTATATTTATTATTTTCTTTCATTTACAACAGAAGAGCTGACTCAGTACTTTCAAAGTACTGAGCAATGACTGAAAACAGCTACTATCACTACTATACAGCGTGATTTGTTTTTTTCCAAGTGATGATGAAGAGCGTACTAGGCATATACAATAAAATATCACATACAAACCAAGGTGAAAACTGTTTAGACTTTCAACTTTCTATGAGTAATGTCTTAATAAAATGATTTTAACTGTTTCTGCAGAAATATGATAAATTCAGCTGTTCTGTTAATAAGAAACATGCTAAAAACTGTAGCTCCAACAATGAATCTTCGAAAAAGCAATGAAATAAATTCTTGGGTTCAAAGCTAGTATTTATGTTCTAAAAAGTCTGCCTTAGGGGGGTAGAACACTGTGGTTCTGGATATCGTGTAACATCTGTCAGAAATTAGGGCTTGGTTTGGTAATGGTGTGAGTCTAACCTTGATCTTCTCTGTAGAGGCTCTGCCTCCTCAAACTATCAAACTTAAGTACAGAAGTTTCAAAAATATCAGGGGATCTTGGAGAAGTCCCATGGGAATGCAAAGTTTGTGGACATAACTCTCTGGAGCTCACAGAGAGAAGCAAAAGTTGGTCATGTCAAGTTGGAATCTGCTCTGGACCCTTCCGCACAGCCAGACTTAACTAACACTATTTGCAAATTATTACAGTTTTCACTATTCAGGAGCTCCAGCAGCAGCAAAGTACACAGAATAAATTGACAAAAGCTGGATAATACTGTGAGAAAAATCAAGAATGTCACTATATTCCAAATGAGATAGTAAATTACATCTCCTGCCAATAAAGTAGTAGTATAATATGAAGTTTATAGACTATTCATATAAAGATCACCATTCAACAAGAACTGTATGAGCCAGATCCAGCTATCATATCAGATAGGTATTATCATACATTGAAAGAGGACATATTAAGTGGGATGATTATTTCCTTTTGCTGCTTTTTTTGAAAAGGTCAAGCTACAGTAATATATTCAAAACCACTGGCATACTCACCACAGTTAGCTTCATCTGATCCATCAGCACAATCTGGGTCTTCATCACATACCCACAGTTTAGAAATGCAGTGTTTTGTTGTTTTACACTGGAAATGGTCTGGAGAACAACTGTTTTCAGCTTTAAATAAAAGAATTCCAAATTAAAACTAGAAATTTCTGCTAATATTCAAAATGTTTGTTTTAAAGAACAAAAAAGTTAAGGATTCAAAATTCAGAAACTGAGTATCTGTAGCATCACTTACATAACATCTGTAAGAAAACAGCATTCAGGTTTATATCGTTTATAATTTTGTCTTCTTTTTATATATTATTTTCTATATAACAGTAAGATCAAACAAATCTAATCAACAAAGTGCCTATTGTGATTTTTCTTTTAACACCAAATAGACTTAACATTGACAAAATCAAACCACTTTAGTAAAAATCAGTCAGATTTATATTTTTTCCTAACTTCCTAAAACACCGGTTACCAATACTGAAAGTCAGTTGGAAAGACTACAGCAGCTCTCAATGCTTTGATTGAAAAGCTAACCAAAATTATGTACAATTTTGCTGAAATTCTGTGCTCTCAGTTAAAAGAGGCCATGGGTATACGGTGAGAAAAGTTTGACAATTATTTCACTTCATCAATTTAGCAGAATATTTTTAAAAATTAATCCTACAGCAAGATAAAGATGCAAAGATGCAGCTAACATTCATCCTGTTCTTTCAGGGTGCTTTAAGTTAAAGCTTAACTGCATTAACAGTCACTTAACAACAAAAAAGATCGACTCCCTCACAAGTATACATGCCAGATCTTACTATTTCTTGAACTCTTATAACTGAGAGTATAGAGGCAAGATGAATAAAGGACATATAATCTGGACTGGACTGTGAGCAAGGTATTTGTGATCAGATGCATAAGGATTTCTTTAGAGAAAAGCATATGTACAAGAACCTCCAAATTGTTCTAAACTGAATTGAACATAGCTGGAAAACAGTATGATCTATTCTCTGATAATGCTTTCCCACAAGAACGTTTGTCCCACTTTTACCTAGGGGACTCCAGAAGGTTTTTAACAAACTTTCCTATCCCTGTCGAGAAGCAATTTTCTCCTTGATATTATCATTCTTGTTTCTTGGATTTCACAAGATGAAAAATTTCAGGTTTGTTAAAAGCTGGTGTATTATTTCTTTCAGTGTGACATTTCCATACATAAATTTACAGTGTTGGAATTAAAAAGCAGTTAGAATTGGCTATGTTGCTAACTATACTTATAAAAAAACCCACTGATTCTCAGCTAGGACATCTCACCAGAGGATTTCAAAGTGCTTTACAAGGAAGACCAGCATAATTACCTCCATTTTACATATGGAAAGCCTTAAGTATGAAATGTGGCTTTTTCAAGGTCACTTTATATATAAAACAAAACAGTGGTAGAGTTGAAGAAAAGGTGTGTATCTCATGAATCCTAGTCCAGTGAAATTAGAATGAAACAGACAATTTAATCTGTTATCTGTCTTGTGACAGGAGCCCAAGTCAGTATGAACTTTGTGGTAGACCTACTTAAAACCTCCCTTTTTCGTAATCTCCCCAAAGGCAAATGAAGAGTTTTCAGAAGCCACAAGCGAGGTTTTATTAAAATATAAACTAGCACTCTTAACTTTCTTAAGAGAGAAGCTAATAAAGTCTAGGTAAGACAGAACAGAAATAAAAAATGTATATAATTAACTTCCCCTGCTCCCCACTGTGTCTTTGCAGGTGGGTTGATGGCTGAGTTTTAGACAATTCAAAAGCACACTTAATGTCACAGCAGATTGTCCTATCCCCACTAATCCCTAGGAAGTTTGCAACTCCATCACTGCTAATCCTGACCCTATCCCTCCCACAGTCCCTGAGCACTGCTGTGCTGCAGGCGCAGCTGCTCTGATTTAATTTCTGTCAGCTGCACCTCAAGGTTTTGGGAACCTTCCATATACCATGTGCAGTTTTTTATAATGAAAAAAGCAATCTCCCCTATCTTCCACACGAGTTTATCTGACCCCACTTAACCAGTTTTTAAAGAAACATAACATGCAAACCAACATATAATACTGTCCATAGGTTACAGCTCTGCTGAGCTGTTTGGAAGATGGCCATTAAACACAATGATCAACAAAGCCTTTGTATCCTTAGCAACCCTTCCCTTGGAGAAGGCCACGTTCTTTGCAGAAATGCAGCATATGCAAACATTGAGAAAGCTAATTCAGAAAATAGGAATAAGCACCTTACATCAGCAGTAGATCTGAATAATGAATTGAGTGAAGGACAGATGTATCGCAAGACAGCACCATCATTTTAATTACAAAATGATCAAAGACACAAGTTGTTCAATACATTCGCATTCTAAATCTGAAAATATTTTCTCTACTTATATATAAGAAACATGGACTGAAAATGAATTTATGAAAAGTAAGAGGTATTAAAAGCTGAGTAAATGGAAATTAAGTTACACAGGCGAAGTAATGAAGAAGTCCTCAGAGGAAATGGGACAGAAAAGGTAGAAAACTCCATCAAAGAAAAAGAAAGTAGAAGGAGTTATGGATCTATATCTTTTCCAATAAGAGACGCCGAAAAATTTTTTTTCATTGAAATGCATTGCTGCAAGGCATGGCAGATGAAAGCCTCAAGAAGAGGAGTCATTTGTGAGGTGGTTAAGAGTAAAACGGATGTTTCAGCCTAAGTCAGAAACCCAATAAAATGCTTGAAATTAATTGTTTACACACCCTTCTTCTTTGCAATGACTTTAAAAAATGAAGTTAATAAATGACATTTTAGTTGTTTGTTCTCTTGTATATGACACATTGTACATCAATCAATCCCATGAATTAACTGCTTTGCATGTTCCTCAAACTGTTTCACACAGAGGACATTTACAGTATTTTACATACTTCAGTTCTTAGTTTAAAACCAGCTACAGCTGTCAGAACAAAATTCTCTAAACAGAACTTACGACAGTCTCTTTCATCTTCTTCATCACCACAGTCATCCTGTCCATTGCATCTCAGATTTATCGGAATACACTTCTGATTCTTTGTGCACTTGAACTGACCTGATAGACACACATGTGTGTCTAAGTTAAAAGAATAAAAATATCAGGTTAAAAAGATTAAAAGTTGAAAATTAAAAGATTCAAAAATTAAAAGGTAAAAGAATAAAAATACAGTTTTTTGACAGAATTTAAAGCATGGCATTTAAATCAGTTTAGCATGTTTCTGAAGTCCGTAATACACATAATTACCTACCACAGTTCAGTTCATCAGAATTGTCCCCACAATCATTCTCTCCATCACAGATAAAGGCGGGAAGAGCACAAAGCCCAGTTCCACACTGAAAACGTCCTGGCTGACATCTGAATTCAGCTGAGAAAAAAGAAAACTGCTTATGAACATTATCAGAGGAATGATTAAAGTATTAACAGTGTTGTTCTTCCTCTATGGACTAATCAAAAGAATTTATAAACCTTTATATTTGCCTACATAATCTCAGTCTGAGTAGATATTAGTAACTAAAATGTGCATGTACTATTGCAAAATTAATTTAAAAGTCTGACATTTAAAATTTGCATAACTATAGTTATACCTTACTACTGATACACAGTGCAACCCTCTAGAGATTGATGCTTACTATTTGCTCAACAGAGACTTGCAATTTAGGATCTAAACACTTGCGTTCAAGTCTGCATTTAAGAGACTCCCTATCCCCCTCTAATTCTATTTCCCATGAAAGGTCTAACTGTTCCTTCTCGCAGCCGCTGCCATTTGAGTGAATGACCAATTATGCACCTCTATATGAATATTTTATAGGAACACAGTGTAGCTTAAAATGTAATCTTATGCAGAATGATTACATATGTTAAAGCTTGCTTCAAAGGCCTCTGCAGCAGAAAAAGAGAACTAATTATAAAATTGTAAAAATACAAGTGAGAGATTTCAATACAAATATCAAATTAACTCTTACTTAACTGAAAGATTGTAGAACACAAAGTAGAGCATTTTGTGTACATAAGCTTAAGGAAAGAAGGCAAGAAACTTTTCATTTATGTACATTAATATAATAGTATTAAAGTAGCCAGTGGCTGGGACTGAAAAATAGGGTCATCAACAGATATTACTGTTTATGAATTCAGTACACTAGAAAGGTACTTTTCTAACCAGCAAAGTTACAGTCAGCTACCGTCACAGCAAGCACCCTTTGGGATGCTGAAAACATCATCATAATTGACTTCCAGTTGTCTTCAATTCAATGGGGGCATACTACAGTAACCTACTATTTGGACTATGGGAGGATATTGAGAAATATGCTGTCTGCACTACCTTCAGGATAGCATGTCAAAGCTACACAGGATCCATGAAAAATGTTCACTGCATATAATTGTTTGTATTGGAGGGGTGAGATGTAGCTCTTCAAATTTTCTTTTTACGATATTCATAAAACCATAAAATGAAAATATTTATATAAAACATATTGTGAAAAATACACAGAATCTTAGTAGGAATCACATGGAAAACATGGTGATTATTCAGAAAATTGCACTAAATGATAATGTGTAGCTAAACTTGTATAATTGCAATGAAACATAAGCAAATGAGAGTAGAATTCCACATTTCTATTATATATGAAAATAAACCAAATAAACCTGTAGAATTCTGTATTTATATATAAAATTCAGCAATAAATATCTTTAGCAAAAATGTAACTGGGTTAAAGTAAATGTTTAAAACACAAAAAACATGTTCTTATGATTTTCCAAATACCTTAAAGACCCTTAGTAGAAATGAGTTAATGAAAATCTTTTACAGGCTCACAAACAAGAACATGCACCCTTTGTAAATTTGACAGAGACCAAGGAATAGAAAACAGTGCTGCAAAAAAAAAGTGTTAAAAAAATCCTCTTCCTTAGATCTATAAAGCAATATATTTAATTTGGACTTTACTGACAAAATTGGGTTCCAAATTCAAAAT